AAAAAAAAATTGGGGGATACCAGGGATTGAACTCAATGCTGCTTAACCATTGAGCCACATTCCTACCCCCACCTTTTTAAAAATTTTTTTTACTCATTAATGGACACAATACCTTTATTTATTTGTTTTTATTTCTATGTGGTGCTGGGGATTGAACCCAGTGCCTCATGTACATTAGGCAAGCGCTCTACCACTGAGCCACAACCCTGGTCTCCCACCCCTCTTTTTTATATTTTATTTTGAGACAGGATCTCACTAGGTTGCTTAGGGCCCTGCTAAGTTTCTGAGACTGGCCTTGAATTTGCAATCTTGCTGCCTCAGCCTCCTGAGCCACTGGGATTACAGGTATATGCCATCACACCCAGCAAAATTTTTTTTTAAAAAACTTGATTTTAAAAGTAATATATAAAATGATAAAATTAAGAGCTGGGCTCACTAGCACATGCTATAATCCAAGCAGCTTGGGAGGCTGAGACAGGAGGATTGAAGTTTGAGGCCAGCCTCAGCAACTCAGCAAGGCCTAAGCAAATCAGTGAGACCCTGTCTCAAAAAAAAAAAAATTAAAATGGCTGGAGATGTGGCTCAGTGGTAAAGCCACTGTTAAATCAGGGGCACTTTACTATTGAGTCACATCTGCAGCCCTTTTTATTCTATTTTATTTTATTTTATTTATAGACAGGATCTAACTGAGTTAATTAGGACTTTGCTGAGTTGCTGAGGCTGGTTTTGAACTTGCACGCGCGCGCACACACACACACACACACACACACACACACCCCTAAAGAAAAACAGTGGAGAAAATTTAGGTAGAGTTCTTAGAGTTTACACCAAAAACAAACCTAATACATAAAAGAAAAATTGATAAATCTGATTCAGTCAACATGTAAGACTTTTGCTCTACAAAAAAATGGTAAGAAGATGAAAAGATAAATTACAGGACTGGGAGAAAATAATTCACAAACCACACACCCAGTAAAGAAATAGTATCTAGAATATATAAAGAATACCCAGGATGTGAGGACCACCTGGCTGCAACATCTGTCACTCCATTGATAGCCAGGGTTGATTCAACTGATCTGCCTGGCAAGGTGAGTGTCACTTTCCTCCTTCACCACTCAACATATGTCCCTCCCGACATTTCATCCTCCCTCAAAGAGGACAACCTTCCTCAATAGAGGAGGACCATTTGGTCAAGAGTATATAAGTAGCTGCACTCCCCTGCTAGAACCTCTAAACAAGCTTTCAAGAATGTCCAAAATGCTGGGCACAGTGGTGCATGCACGTAATCTCAGTAACTCAGGAGGCTGAGGCAGAAGTATTACAAGTTTAAAGCCAGCCTCAGCAACTTACCAAGGCCCTAAGAAACTTAGTGAGGCCCTATTTCTATAAATAAAATATTTTAAAAAGGGTTGGGGATGTGGTTCAGTGGTTAGGCACCCCTAGGTTCAATCTCCAGTACCAAAAAAAAAAAAAAATGTTCAAAGTAACAGTAAAAATAACAAGCCAACCAGAACATGGGCAAAAGACATGAAGATACACTGTACTGATGAAAATATTCAGAGAACAATATGTAGGTGAAAAATATTCAACATCATTATCCATTAAATGTAGACAACTCCAAAGGCCGGCAAGGATACAGAGAAACTGGATCACCCATATGTTGCTATGAGATTGTAAAATGTTACATCCACTCTGGGAAACAGTTGGCCAGTTTCTTAAAGTGAACATGCAATGAACATGACCCAGCAATTGTGGCCAGCCAGGTAGAAGTGAGCTGTGATAACTGGAATCTGACAGTGCTGCTGGCAGTCCTGCCAGCAGACGTGGCCTACCCTTGCCTGACAAGAAGAAAAGATGAAAATTTTGAAAACGTGTAACATAATTTAGGACATTGACATCTGAAGAAAGTAAAACATAGGATCAGTGCAGTAGGTGTCAAAGCATTTTAATCTCCCTTTGATGTTTGAAAAAGTCTTCAACTTTAGAATCTTTGGAAAGCAGAACATGTTTCCTATTTCAGAAACTAAAAATGCCAGATATTTGCCTTCCCAGACTCCCTTGCAACATGGAGTCTGCAAAGTCACATGGAGTGCAGCATGGAGTTAACAGGCACATGACCAATCAAATTCACACCCAGACTTGAATTAGAAGCTATTGTCACAAAGAAATAGGGATTGTGTGGGACTCTCTCTCTGCAGCAGGGGAGGTAGTGATGACTGAGTTTCTGGCTCAGCAGCTGGGGCAACACAAGCTTCAGTGGCCTGGTCTTGCAGCAGAAGCAGAGTTATGCTCACCAGACTGGTTCTGCAGCCTGTTTCTGGGCACTATTCTTGGCGGCATAGCTTCATGTCTGGTCTCCAGCCCAGAAGTCTGTGAATGTTTTTTTGTTGTTGATTATTTTTGTTTTTGAGACAGGGTCTCACTATATTGCCCAAGCTAACCTAGAACTCCTTGGCTCAAGCAATTCTGCAGCCTCAGTCACCCAAGTAGCTGGGTTACAGGTGTGTGCCACCACATCTGGATTAACCAATGTATTTTTTGTTTTTATTTACCTGTCTGTTTGTTTGTTTACTTATTTCCTATTTCAGAAGCTAAAAATGCCAGATATTTGCCTTTCCAGACTCCCTTGCAACATGGAGTCTTCAAAGTCACATGGAGTGCAACATGGAGTTAACAGGCACATGACTGTGGGTGTGCTTTACTACCAGGAGTGTTTTATCACCAAGCCATATACCCAGCCCTTTTTTATTTTGAAATAGAGTCTCGCTAAGTTGCTTAGGACCTCACTGAATTGCTCAGGCTGACTTCTAACTTATGATCCTTCTACCTCAGCCTCCTGAGTCACTGGGATTACAGGCATGTGCCTCGGTGCTCCAGTTCTAATGTGTGTGTGTGGGGGGGTTGTTTTTTGTTGGTGCTGGGGATTGAACCCAGGGCCTTGTGTATGCAAGGCAAGCACTCTACCAACTGAGCTATATCCCTAGCCTCCAATGTGTTTTTAACTCCAATTCATTTTCAGTCCAAATTAGCTAGAATGTTTTCTGTTGCTTACAATGAAAAATTCTGATACGAACGCAGTAAAAATCACCAGCCTCAGGGTTCTTAGTCAAGTTTCTTTCTATATGATCTTCCACTTCACTTCCTGATACTAATCTGATATTAACTGCACCGTTTTCTCCACATTTCCAAACCTTTTTTGGCAGGGTACCAGGGACTGAACCCACGGGCACTTAACCACTGAGCTATATTCTTAGCACTTTTTATATTTTGAGACAGGGTCTTGCTAAGTTGTTTAGGGCATTACTAAATTGCTGAGGCTGGCCTCGAACTTGTGATCCTCCTGCTCAGCCTCCTGAGTTGCTATACTACCATACCCAGCTTCCCAATAATTTTTGCAGTTGAAAAACTATATAAATAGTAAATCTATGAATGAATTGAATCTTGCTTAAGTGCCTACTCCTTGTCCAGTAACCAGTGGTAAGCAAATAGGGGGCAAATTCATGTGGGTTTTGCATGGAATTCCTTCTGGGAATCAGTCAAAAGGTATTTCTTAGAAGTGTCAGTGGCCCAGCAGACTTGGTACTGGCTCTTTGAAACAGACACCTAACCTGGTCTTGGAAATCAGAGAAGACTTTCCAAAAGAAAAAATTCTAAGTTGAAACTTTTAAAAAAGTAAGACTTAGGCAGAAGTGGGTAAAGAGTAAGGGGAAATTCAGGCCCACAGGAAAGAGAATAATCAAGAGAGTGTACAGGGGTCTGGGTTGTGGCTCAGTGGTAGAGTACTTGCCTAGCATGTGTAGAGCACTTCCCAAAATTATTGGGAAGCTGGGCATGGTGGTGCAGCAACTCAGAAGGCTGAGCAAGAGGATCACACTGGGTTTGATTCTCAGCACCACATATAAATTAAAAAAATGAAATAAAGGTCCATCAACAACTAAAAAAATATATTAAAAAAAGAGAGAGAGTGTACAGCCAGGTGCAGTGGTACATGCCTGTAATCCCAGCATTTTAGGAGGCTGAGGCAGGAGGATTGCAAGTTTGAGGCCATCTTCAGTAACTTAGTGAAGCCCTAAGCAATTTAGCAAGACCCTGTCTCTAAATCACAAATAAAAAAGGGTTGGGGATGTGGTCCAGTGGTTAAGCACCAGTAAGGTCAATCCCCAGTACAGAGAGAGAGAGAGAGAGAGAGAGAGAGAGAGAAAGTAGTAAAAGATGAGTCCAGACAGGTAGGCAAAGTACAGATCTTGCAGGATTCTGAAGGCCATGTAAGGGACTTTAGATTTCTCCTAAAAGCAATAAGGAGCCATTGGTGAGTTTAAGCAATGGGAGGAGATGAGCAGATTGCAGTTCAGAAAGACCACTCTGGTGGAGAATGCAGAGAAGGGAAATTAAAAAATTGGGAGACCAAGTAGGAGGCTACTGTAGGGAAGCAATTAGAGAGAAGACAGTGCTTTGGAGTTGAGGGATAGAGAGTAGATTTGAAAGAGACTAGAGATAGATCAGAAGGAATTGGTGATAGGTTGGACATAAGGATTAAGGAAGGGAAGAAGTAGGGATGGGCATCAGGGATTTTGTTTTTCAAAATTGATTGAATGGCTAGGTGAATGAATGGATGTTGGTATCGTTTGCCAGGTTGAACAACATAGAAGAAGCTTTTTGGATGATATGAGCTCAATTTAGAACATATTTTTGTGCTTGTGGTACACCCAAGGAGAGAAGTCCAAAAGGCATTGGGAAACTGGGCACAGTGGCACACACCTGTTATCCCAGCAACTCAGGAAGGTAAGACAGGAGAATTGCAAGTTCAAGTATAGCCTCAGCAATTAACAAGGCCCTCAGCATCTTTTTTTAAAGAGAGAGTGAGAGAGGAGAGAGAGAAAGAGAGAGAATTTTTAATATTTATTTTTTAGTTCTCGGCGGACGCAACATCTTTGTTGGTATGTGGTGCTGAGGATCGAACCCGGGACGCACACATGCCAGGCAAGTTGAGCCACATCCCCAGCCCGGCCCTCAGCATCTTAGTGAGACCCTGTCTCAAAAATTTAAAAGGGAAGTGGATGTAGCTCAGTGGCAAAGCGCCCTGGTATTACATTCCCTGTATATTAATGAAAGCCCCAAAGGCATTAAGATATATATGTTTGGATCTCAGATGAGGGGTCTGGACTAGAGATATAGATTTAAGAGTCACTGAAGGTAGAGGTGGTGGTTGCAGGCAAGGAAATTAATGAAGATGACCCCAGTTACTTATGGAGTGTAAGAAATGAAAAGAGCCTAAGAAAAAATTCTGGGGATAGGTTCACTGTTCAAGAAAGGCAGAAGAGAAGGAATCCACAAAAGTGAACAAAAAGGACCAACCAGGTAGGTAAGAGGAAAACCAAGAAAATTGGTATCACTTGCATGTAGGCCAATGGAGAGTCCTAAGCATGGAGTAGCCACGGGCATATAGGCTACAAAAATCAAATAAGACCATAATGAAGCCAGGAACAGTAGCTTACACCTGTAATCCCAGTAATCTGGGAGGTTGAGGCAAGAGGATTACAAATTTGAGGTCATCCTGGACAACATTGAGATTCTGTCTCAAAAAAAAATTATAATGGAGAAGTTTCCAATGAATGTAGAGGAAAGAGGGCACTAGTGACCTTGGCAAGAACCACGTCAATGGAGTAAGTTGGGGGAGAAGTAGTTTGGGGAGAGAGAAGGCAGAGGGAGGTGAGGAAGGAAAGAATTAAAATTAGGCAACTCTAAAAAAAGTCACACAACTCTAATCATGTAGCTGTGAACGGAAGGAAAGAGTGGTATCGGGAGAGGTTTTTAAAAGCTGGACAAGGGTAATGGTTAGAAGAGTCCACCCCGGGAAGATGAAAGAGGGAGAGAGTAGATTCTAAAGAAGGGCTTGGGGAGTTGTGGAGGGAGGCGATAAGGACTTGTATTCAGAAGGGAGATTGTTCCCTGGGTCACAGGAGACCCTATCAGTCTGGCATTTCCTCCCCATCCTCATCCCTTTCCTGCCCCTGGCCTGACTCTCACTGGAGCTGGAAGACAGAAGGACGGAGTCACCCCCTGGAAGAAGCTCTGTGTCTTTGGAGGTGTTTCTGTGTGACTGTAAGTTGGGGTTTGGGGAGAAGGAGGGTCTATCAAATGGGTAAGAGCCAAGGACATGAAGCTAGTAGTTTAGGCTTTAGGGGCAAGATTAGGAGAAGGGAGTGGAAGGTATGGAAACTGGGTTTCAGGAAGGGATTCTGGGAGCTACAAGTACGAAGGTCCAGGACCTGGATATATGATGCTAGAGGCTGGTGGGATGTTCACTCAAACTCCCATTGTCTACAGGTCCCCATGTCTCTCCTCCTCTTGTTGCTCCTGCTGCCAAGCCCCTTATACTCCCATTCCATCTGTGACATCTCCAAACCGGCCAGCCAACTGGAAGTGAACTGTGAAAAACAGAACCTGACAATGCTGCCTGCAGACTTGCCAGCAGACACAGCCATCCTTCACCTGAGTGAGAACCTCCTGGTTACCTTCTCCACAGCATCCCTGGTGCCTCTCACTGGCCTTACTCAGCTGTATCTGGATACAAATCAGCTGAGCAGCCTGCAGACAGTTGGAATGTTGCCACTTCTGGAGATACTGGTTATATCTCACAATGAACTGAAAAGCCTGCCATTCCTAGGGCAGACACTGCCTGCACTCACTATCCTGGACGTTTCCTTCAACCAGTTGGCCTCATTGTCTCCTGGTGCATTGAATGGCCTCAGCAAACTTGAGGAACTCTACCTGCAACACAACAAGCTGAAGACTCTGCCCCCTGGGCTCCTGGAAACCACCACCCAGCTACAGAAGCTCAATCTTGCCAACAATAAGCTCAGTGAGCTACCTCCTGGCCTCCTGAATGGGTTGGAGGAGCTTGACACCCTCTACCTCCAAGCAAACTGGCTATACACGATACCAAAGGGCTTCTTTGGGAAACTCGGCATTTCTTTTGTTTTTCTCCATAGCAATATCTGGTATTGTGACTGTGAGATTCTCTATTTCCGTCACTGGCTGGAGAAAAACCCCAGCAACGTCTACGTATGGAAGGAGGATATGGATGTCAAAGACATGACCTCCAATGTGACCAGTGTGCAATGTAGCAATTTGAACAAAACACCTGTCTATAACTATACAGGGGAAAATTGCCCCCCTATTGGTGATGTGGATGAGCATGATTACTATGATGATACCGACATGGAAGAAACCACAAAGACTATGGCCAAACTCTCTACCAACACCAAAGCCTATACAACCCACTGGGACCTACTCTACTCCAAATCTACCGCTTCTCTGACTCAAATGCCCTCTTTGCCTCCAACTGAAGAATTCACCAAGAGACAGACCATATTCCTACATAGACAGATCCCAGATTCCTCCACATTCCCAACAGCCATAGAATCTACCACATTATCCAAAAGTCTAAAACCTACTAATGAACCCATCACAACCCTGACCACACCAAACTCAATCAAGCCAGAACCCCCAACTACCCCAGAGCCCACCACAATCCTGACTTCCCCACAGCCTACTACTGCCTTGATCTCCCCGGAGACCACCACAACCCTAATTATGTCAATACCCCCAATCTCAATCACCCCAGAGCCTATCATAGCCCTGACCTACCTGGAGGCCACCACAACCCTGACTTCCCCAGTGGCCACTACAGCCCTGACCTCTCCAGAGCCTACCACAGCCTTGACCTCCCCAGAGGCTATCATAACCCTAACCATGTCAGTACCCCTAACCTCAATCACTGCAGAGCCCACCACAGAATATACCTCATTCCCTACTAACTCAGGCTCCCTCACAATCTCTCCTGAATCTGAAATGGTCTTAGCAGCTCAAGGGAATTTTCACAGCGCCAGAAATTACCCTTTTCTCAACCCTGACATTTGCTGCTTTCTCCCCTTGGGCTTCTACATCTTGGGTCTCCTCTGGCTCCTGATTGCCTCTATGGTCCTTATCCTACTGCTGACCTGGGTCTGGCATATGAAACCACATGCCCTGGACTCTGACCAGTCTGCTGCCCTGGCCACAGCCATAGAAACCACATATCTGGAGGTGCAGAGGGGAAGGCAAGTGACTGTGCCTCGGGCCTGGCTGCTCTTCCTTCAAGGATCACTCCCCACTTTCCGTTCTAGCCTCTTTCTGTGGGTACGGGCTAATGGTCGCATAGGGCCTCTGATATCACGACGGTGGCCCTCAGCCTTGAGTCAGGGTCGTGGTCAGGACTTGCTGGGAACAGTGAGTATTAGGTATGCTGGCCACAGCCTCTGAAGGTGGGTGGTTCGGAGGACCTTGAGTGTCTGATGGTCTCTCCTATTGGAATTTGGCTGAGGGCAAGCCCACAGCATCAGAGGAGGACTTAATTACAGTTCCTTTATTTGAAGCCTCCTCTTCATATCCAGACACTCAACTCCAGACTGTACAAATCAAGAGGGGTAGTGAGATGATGGAGTTGTGAGGGTCACAGAACCAAGCTCCCTAGGTTAATGGAGTGTTGTCAGGCCACATGGTTAGTTTGGGGAAATTTAAGGAAAAGCAGATAAACAGAATACTGCATGGCTCCTACAGGCATCCTTACATAGAAGAAAATTTGTGATTTATCAAGATGAGAGCACTGATTATCTTTGAGTATCATAAATATGGATCCCCCCCTCTGCTTAGTGTTTTATATTTCTCGACCATCACTGTACGTTATTTGTAGAATAAAAAAAAATAAAAAAAGAAAATGTAGTTTCTTTTGGAACCAAAGTGGTTGAGGGGCTTGTTAAAATAATTCCCAAGGTCTCAACTTCCCCCACCCTGGTCCCAACTACTTATCCAACAAACCTTCAGTCACAGCTGGCACTTTCTCTACTGCAGGAGTGGCCGCCCACCAGCCACCTCAAGCAGAAACTCCAGAACAGAATAGTCAAGTTGTCCTGGAGTTGAGGGACACTGCTGAAGCCTAGCCACTGGTAGCCTGCAACCCTCAAGGCAAAAGGGGTTATCTGCTTACTACTGCAGCCTCAGAAATAGTTGGTAGGGAGGGTGCTTAACCATCGGGCCACATCCCCCACTCTATCTATCTATCTATTTATTTATTTATTGAGACAGGACCTTGCTAAGTTGCAAACTTGGCAATCCTTCATCAGCCCCTGGAACTGCTGGGATAACAGATGCAGCAGCACACTACTGTACCCGGTTCCTGTCATTTCCTTGCTGGAATTGAAGTGCCTTAAGGACAAGATCCAGTCTTTAAGTGTCTCAAAGTAGCCACAATGCTCCAGGACACGGTGCGCATGGTGGGTAAGAAGGGAGGCAGCAGCTAAGGTGTCAGGAGTTTCATTTCTTGTTCCATTGGCAAGGCTCTGCAAAAGGGACAGCTCCCACCTGCTGTCTGCCCATCCCAAGGCCTGGCACACAGCCTAGCACTCCTCCCAGTATGACCTTCCCATGCCCCTTTATGTTCCAAGAGATTTGTAGGCTCCTTGAAAGCAAGGCCTAGCAACCACAATTCTCAATAAGTGGATGAGGCAGTCACTCTCCTCAGCCAGTGCTGGTCTCTGGCCAAAATCCTTTTTAAACTTTGGATCAGCTGTATTGTCCACCCCACAATCCCTGCCCCCCAGCCCTCACCCCAATTCACAAAAATATGATTTTTTAGCCCCTCCCTCTTGAGTCTACAAACCAGTCACCAGATCCCAGAGGCTTTTCCTAGGGATTAATGTGAGATGATTTGTGCATCTGCTGCATTCCTGAGCAAGCAGCTGGGAAGCAACATACAAGGCCTGGAGTTTGGGTTTCTGCCCTATGTTACTATACCATGACTGACCTACACAGCATTTGCATAAAACCAGCAGATGCCTTGTCTTTAATAATTTTTCTTAAAAACTCCAGTTCCTGTTCTCCAGGGGTATCAACTTCTTTGTCCAGACTCCTCCCCTGTTCATCCCCACAACTCTCCAGATTTGGGGGTGGTGTCATCAATCCAATTTATTAATTAAGTCCTCAGTGAGGGGAGGAAGGGCCACAGCCTCCCACTGCAGACCTTTCCACCATCTTGATAGCTTCTGCTTTCTTCTGTCTCCTCTGCTCTGCCTTGGTTTCCCCACAGAAGGGGGATTTTCTGCTGTCCTCTGTGTCCTAAAACTAACACCTAAGGGAAATCTAGAAATCTTCGAGTTTCCCAGCTCCACCAAGGAACAGCCACTGACAGAGTGGTCATAAGAATTAGGCCAAGCAGGGCAAACTGGAGCAGAGGGTAGAACAGATCAAAGTCCTTTAACACAAGGAGGAAACCAAACTGTGGAGGGGAAATAAATAGAGGGGCCCAGAGCAGCAGAGTCCAGGCTCCCTGGGGTGCAGTGACTGTAAGAGCAATGGATGACTGGGAGCCCCGGCACATTGGCTCCAGGTATCCTGCCCCCTCAGCCACTGAGGAAGAGACGTTTGTAGGCCTTGTTCATCTGCTCCAAGAAGATGAAGGTGAGGACAGTGTGGGGACCCAGGCGGGCATAGTATGGTGTGAAGCCCTTCCATAGGCTGAAGAATCCCTCATAGCGAACAACCTTTATCAGCACATCCTAGACAGACAGACAGACACGCAGGGTAACAGAGCTAGGACGTGGACTTGGGACCCTGTCCCCTACCCAGCTACTGTCATAACCCTCCCAGGGCATCTGACACTATGACTCAAGCCCCTAGCCCTGCTTTCTCACCAGCCCATTCTTGTATTCTGGCTTCCCATCAATCATTCTCATGTTCTGGATCCTGAAAGAAAGGAAGCAGAGATGCGGGATGTAACTCAGTGGTAGAGCACTTGTCTAGCATGCACAAGGCCCTGGGTTAAAACCCCAGTACTGTGGGGGTGGGGAGAGAGAAAGAGACAGAGGAGAGAAGCAAGGGCATAAGAGACAGAAAGGGGGGCCTCCAACACCTATCCAAGCCAGGCCTGCACACTTACCGAGTCTTGACAATGTCCACGGGCATAGAGGCGGCAGTGGTAACAAGGCCACTGATCATACTGGCACAAAAGTGGCATAGGATATTGTCAGAGAAGTAGCCTGGAGAGTAAAGCAGGAGGTGATAGTCAGTTTGGAGCAATCTGGCCAGGCTGGGAGTTAAGGGCCCAGATCTGGTTCTTACCTGAGTCCAATAAGAACTGCTTAGATTGGGAATAGGAGGCAAGCTGGGCAGCATTGACAACAACAGCCCGAGCCATGGTAGGAATACAGCCCTGAAAGTGGGAGAGTGAAGGAAGAGTCAGAAATACTAGGGACCAGAACCTACAAGCCCTAAGTCTCCAGAGACTTTCCTCACCCGCCACAGAGTGGGGACTCCCTCTTCCCGGGCAATTCGAATCAGGGCATTAAACACGTTTTTATAGCCACGACGTTGATCAGCCGGAAGCCTGGAGAAAGAGTAGGGAGAGCCCAAGATCAGGACAGTCCACACTGCCCACAGGAGCAAAAAATGGGAGCAAGAGTACATAAACATTCTGCTCTAGGTCTGGGTTTAAAAAACTGGTACTTTCATTCTAGATTCCAAGAATGGGACTTGAGTTGGGTTCAGTCCTGTAACTCACCGACCATCAGCAGTCATACGGATAAGAGCCACCTCAGCTGGTGTTCCCACAAAGGCACCAGTTGCACCTGCAGTCATGCCAATCAGGGCCTTCAGCAGAAAACCAGGGGGTGTACCATCAGCCCCAGTCAGGCGCTCAAAAAGCACGGTATAAATGCCAAGGCGAGTAGTGGTGTAGGTGGCCTGTCGCAGGAGACCAGCTGACAGACTGAGGAGCAAAGGGGTCAGCGCATCAGGAAAAGATCTAGACCTGCCAACCCATACCCTTCTCCCCAATCTGAGGCCAGTACCCAGTGTAAATGCCCTTCAACCCTTCTGCCTTCAGGATGCTGGTGAGAGCATGGAAGCTGGTTTTGTACTCTCTTGTTTTGGCCCCTTCTCCGCTCAGTTGCATCCGGTTCTTCACTAGGTCCAGGGGTTGAACAAAAACTGTAGCTCCCATCCTGGGGGAAGGCAGGAGTGTAATTAAGGGTCAGGAGTTCCAGATCTACTAATGCCTACTGGAGCCTGGTGGCAAGAAGTTACAAAGGTCAGGGCCTGTCATGTGAGTAAGGACTTAGGAGGCTGTTGGACATGTTGGGCATGTAAGAGCAATGTGTCTGGAAATTATAGGTGTCCAGCAGGAGCCATGCAATGAAAGTGGTCCAGGCAGCTCCATGGGAGTCAAGCAATGAGGGGACGAAATGCAGTTCGACCCAGGGAAGGGAGGAGGGGGATATCCATGATCTGGGACTCCAAGCAGTCCTTCAGGGAATCACTTAATGACCTGGAACCCCATTCAGCTAGGCAGAGCCAAGCAGTAAGCTAGGAAACTCAGGTGGCTTGGCAAAGGTCGTGCAATGACCCCGCATGCAGTCCATTAGGGGTCCTGCAATGGGTGAAAAGATCTTGGCAGCCCATAAAAGACCTCACAAACCACTGGTGAGCACGCTGACCCCGTGCTGGCTCAGTTCACTGTAAAAGACCCAGAGAGAAACCAGGCCCAGACCTTGGGCCCGTCCCTTCCTCCTTCTTTCCCATCCGTGGGGCCTGAGCTTACCCGGCCAGGCCCCCAAACAGGAACTTGACGGACTTAGGGGAGGTACGGGGCTTCCCGTCCATCCCGCCGGCCCCGGGGCTCGCCGTCGCCGCCATCGCCACTGAATGGCCCTCAGCTCCGGGTCCCGTGCGCGCGCGCGGCCCCGCTCGCGCCCAAGGTGACACCGAGCGCGCAACAGGGCGAGGGCGCGCGCACGCCCCTCTGGCTCTCAGGTCCAGCACCAGCACCAGCTGGAAGCCGGCGCTGGCGCAGACGTTCAGCGCAAAGGCGGCCGGGAGTAAGGCGGAGATGAAGGGGGAGCTTGAGGGATGCGTGCGGGAAGGGGTGTGGCTGTTTTAGGAAACCAGATTATAGGCGCAGTTTTTACCGAATTAGAATCGCGGGAAACTGGAGAGGAATTTGTTTGGAAGTCTCGCGAGAGCGAGTCAGGCTAGCCAGAGTACGGAGGTCTCTCGCGATAGAGAAAGATTTCCGTGGCGGGGCGGAGGTGGGTGGTCACTCTCGCGAGACTTGCAGGTACGTCGGCGGCTGCCCGAGGGATGAGAGGTTTGTAAACAGGGCAACACAAGGGGGGTTTACGGGCACTAAAAGGAACCGATTAGATCGTCTTCTAGGATTTGGTGTTCTCTGTATCTACTCAGGCATTCTTTCCATCCCTAACTTTTCCTTTAACTGGCCTTTTAGGACCGGAAGTCCTTCATCTTGAGCATCCAGTGTTGGAAGTGGCCTGACTTTCCTTACCGGAAGCCCTTTTCCGAGGGACAGGAAGAAGGCCCACCTGGCCGGAAGTCTCACCTCCTTGAGCTCCCCCGCCCTTCTAGAAGTGTTTCTGTCACTTGTGCTTACTTCTGGTCCCTTTATCCGTTTTATCTCTATACCAAAAAAAGGATACATTTTGTGTCTTCCTTAACTCCACTAAACGAATTGGATAGCTCACTCCCCGAGTCGGGGTTCTTTCCCCGGCGCCCCCATGTAGCTGAGAAGTGGGACCTGGGGGTGGTTGGACCCCTGGGATCCTGAAGGGGTTAGGAGGGCGCAGAAATACGCTCTGCCCCTTCTACAAGGACGCGACTTCCTCAGCCTTTCTTCGCCCGCTGCCATGCACTCTGTGGCCTTCCCGCTTCCTGTGGTTGTGGCTACTGTGTTGTGGGGAGCGACCCCCATTCGGGGGCTCATTCGAGCG